CAAAGCATCTAAAAGCGTAATCAGAAAATTACAAGAATTAAACTCAACCAATTTAAAAACGGTTTTAAAAAAATTTTGCTAAGTAAAAATTGATGGATTAGCAAGAACTCACAATTTGCTGCAAAGATGTGGAAAGCACTGCTATGCACGCGCATATAAAACCTTTGCCATTAACTTTGACATCTGTCACTGTACAAACACCAACACCCACAACCACCACTAAAACAGACATCTTCACCTCCTTTGAATACTGCTTGTTATGAAGCATCCATTCCATCACACAAACCACAGGAATCATGCTAAGCTTGGAAATCTATAAAAATTTCTATATCAGGGACTTGATATGTTGATTTGTAAAAGAGGTGAAGCAGTAATGAAATCAGAACCTGGTAAAAGCCAACAGAATTAAGCATAAGGCTCAGGTTCATCCCTGTGATGGATGTGTTGGCGACAAGGGAAAACCAGAGAAGCTCCCACAGAGGAACATGCTTTGAAGCAGAATATCCGGTGGCGTTTGAAACTAATCCAACCAATGCAGTCACACCAAAGTGCAAACCAGTCAAAGTAGTTGCTGACAGAGAAAAATATGGCGGTTAATCACTGATAAACTGAATGAAAATAGCAAAAACAATGAGAATATTGGTGATAAGAAAATCGATATGGAATCCAGCATTATTTGACAAGTGTGTGTGAGAAACCAAGCAGCATTCCAATTACATTAGAATAATCGGTAAATGATGTACGCAGGCCTGCTCTGGAAGAGCGAAAGAGAACATCAAAGAGAAGTAAAAAAATGAATTTTGGAAGCTCCAGTAACCTAATGATCCTCTCTAAAAATTAGGAATGGTTCTGGAATTCGCCAAAATCAACTGCTACAGTTTCATAATCTACAGTGGTAAGTTTTCTGCTTTCATTTCCTTCATCCTCCTTTAATACAAACACAGATAGAAGAAAATTGGTAACAGGAAAGAGAGTGAGAGAAGAAAGAGTTAATGACAGAAACTGATAACAATTCTGAAATCATCGAAATCACAATAAACCAACAAGATTCCCACAATTTACTTGCATAGCTTGGAAATATTCAATCGTCACAGCAAACAGAATTGCTCGTAGCAGATCTGCTTGC